AAAAATGTATAAACATGTCATGAAACATAGATATTTTGTTATATGTGAATCATGAACTCACATCTCTCTGGACATTCAAATGCTTACCTGGTGTGTCTCTAATGAACAGGCTTTTACTTATTACTGCATGTAGCAGCTTCTGTAGGACATCCTTCTGCTTGTGTGGGATCTCTATACATCTGTGTTTATCTATATGCATGTGCTTTAGTTGTTCGAGCGTGTGCGGGTGGATGGGACAGGGCCTGGGGGTTACCAACACCACAATCACTTTTTGTTGTGAGAAACCTAGATCTTTTGCTCCATTTCACTCAACAGAAAAAAGCAGCTCGATTTGGACATCAGGAATTTTCTTTTCCGATGCAGTTGGTCAAATGATAAATGGTGAAGAAGAATAAAACTCTTCACAGGTCCTGAGACTTATAGATGGCACAGTCACTGCCAACGTCCCACTCCATCCTCTGGAAGAGGTAAACCATGGCACTCTCCAGAAGTAATCCGCTCAGGATGGTCAACAAGGACAGCTTCCGGCTTGTGTTCAGGGTCACTCTAATGGCCTGAAAGTTTGATGTAAGGACAAACACTTTGATGAGTCTGAGGCACAGTGGTGTGTAGTCATGTTCCCAAATGACAGCTGGAATCAGCAGGAATTTTCCATAGCTAGACAGTAATAATGCTTTCAGCAGTAAAAGGAAGTTGGGCTTTTTCTCCGCTGTCATTGGTTGTTCAACCCACAAAAAGGTAAAAATGGCAATAAAAAAGGTGGTTTGTTCTAAAGAAGCAATTGCGAACATTCTGTAGAACTCCCATTCCTTAGCGTATCTGATCAAGTCATCAGGGTCAATGTTCTGGTTCGAGTCCTGAAGCTGCCACCACTTCAGGTATGCCTCACAGAGCAAACAAAAGATGCACAGTTTTCCATGGATATTTATTTTAGTATTGAAAAGAATATGTCTGTAGGCCTGGGCTTTGCATAAAATTGCATTAATTAAGATGATAACAGGATCATACTCGATATATTTGTCTACAGGTTTCTGGCAGGATTTGCAAATGGTTATCTTGAGCACACCGTGGTGATAGTCTCGGTACAGCTCCTTGGCTTCTTCATTGCACTCGATGCACCTGTACTGGCAGGAGCCGATGCTGCGGGAGGAGTGGCAGCCGCCCCCTCGATGCCGCCTTTCCCTGGCTGAGGACCGCACCTCCCGCCGGTGCCCATGGTCCACCTCTATTTGCAACTTTTTGAGGAAGTACCATACCACCTTCCACAGTGGTTGCACCATTTTACACTCCCTTCAACAGTGAATAAGGGTTCCAGTTTCTCCACAACCTTGCCAGCATTTGTTGTTTGCTGTTCTGTTAAATTTTGCTATTGTGACTGGGGTGATATAATATAGTTGTTTTAAGAAGAATAACTTAAGTGCCACCAAAATTCTATAAGAGAAGACACTAAAGCAATGCAAAACAAAAAAATCTCATTGAAAAAATAACTGAAAATCTGTTGTTATGTGCCGTTGAGTCAGTTGCGACTCATAGCAACCCTATGTACAACAGCCCTAAACTCTGCTCTGTCCTGTGCCAATCTCATTGTCTCTGACACTCCCATCCCGATTACCTCAGTCACTGAATCAATCCACCTCATAGAGGGTCTTCCCCTCCTGCGCTGTCCCTCCACCCTACCAAGCATGATGTCCCTCTCCAAGGATCTGTTTGTCTCTCCTTACAACATGTCCAAAGTATGTCAGATGAAGCCCCAGAATCCTTGCCTCCAAGGAGTAGCCTGGTTTAACCCTCTCCAGGATGAATCTGTTTGTTTTCTTGGCAGTCCATGGTACATTCAATACTCTTCTCCAGCACCACAGCTCAAAGGCATTAGTTCTCCTTCTATCCTCCCTAGTCATTGTCCAACTCTCTGATGCATAACACGCGACTGCAAAGACCATGGCCTGTATCAGGTGCACCTTGGTCTCCAGAGAGAGACCAAGGTGCTCTTGAATACTTTGTTGCTCTTGAATACTTTGGAGAGGTCCCTAACAGCAGACTTTCCCATCGCAATACGTTTTTTGATTTCCTGGCTGCTTGTGCCAAGAGTGTTGACCGTGGAGCCAAGCAAACGGAAGCTGTGAACAATCTCAATCTCTTAGCCATCCATCCTGATGCTACCAATTGGTCCAGTGGTGAGAATCTTTGTCTTCTTGACATTGAGCCTCAGTCCATACTGAAGGCTGCAGTCCTTGACCCTCTGCAGTAAGTGCATGAGGTCCTCCTCAGTTTCAGTGAGCAGGGCTGTAACATCTGCTGCAGAAAAAAAAATCCCTAATATCATGAAATATAAAAAGGACAACAATTCACTTCACCAAAGAAGACATTCAAATGACAAACAAACACATAAAGAAATGTTTAAAATCCCTCGCTCTAAGAGATACAGATCAAAACAACTATGAGATATCATTTCATCCCAGTAAGAATAGCAAAATTTAACAGAACAGCAAACAACAAATGCTGGCGAGGTTGTGGAGAAATTGGAACCCTTATTCACTGTTGGTGGGAGTGTAAAATGATGCAACCACTGTGGAAGGCGGTATAGCACTTTTTCAAAAAGTTGCAAATAGAAATACCATTTGACCCAGCTATTCCACCACTTGGAATATACCCCAAAGAAACCATAACCGCCACCCAAGCAGTTATATGCACACCCATGTTTATCATGGCTCTGTTCACAACAGCAAAGAACCGGAAATAATCTAAGTGTCCATCAACAAATGAATGGATAGAGAAGCTCTGGTATATTCACACAATGGAATACTACGTTGCACTGAAAAACAAGGAACTCATGAAATATTATTCAAAATGGATGGCCCTGAAGGACATTATGCTGAGTGAAATATCTCAGTCACAAAAGGACAAATACTGTACAGTGGCACTGTTGTAAAAAGGGACTGACATTGGGGTTGGGAGGAGAATGTGAAAGATGGGATAAATTGTGCATACTGCATTGAAACAGGTAAGAGAGAGAACTGTTTAAAAGGAATACATGATTAGGTATCATTGTCATGACAGGAGTCCAGAAGGAAGGCTGCATAGTGGAATGGACTTAGGGGGAGGGATTGTATAACAATGAAAAAATTTTTCTCTTAGTTTTCAAAGAGAAGAATGAACTGAGGGGATGGGCAGGGAGAAAAGTGCAACAATAAATGAATGGAAATCCAAAATATCTGTAAATTTTCATCAAAATTAATAATAAAAAATAAAAAAGGACAGTAATTCAAGTAGCTCAGTGACAACCAAATAGAAAAGACCTCAAAAGAAAATCTCTTAAGACAGAAAGATCAAACTCTCTAAAATCAAAAGCAATTCTGAGAGAAGGTAGGAATAACAAACATTGTACCTATAATGGATTATCAGTAACACTAAATTCTGCCTTCTCAGCAGAACCCACACAGGCAAGAGGGTAATGGGATGACACATGTAAAACCTTGAAAGAAAAAACTGCCAATTAAGGACTAAATATCCAGAAAAATTATTCCTGAAATATTATTTAGTAGGTCCTTTTCAGATGAACATAAATTAAGGGAACATGTCAAAACTAATCAGCCTCACAAGAAATGCTGGAGACCGAAAACCAACATCAGACAACAACCTGAGATAAAGACATATGACACCATCATCACAAAGTGAGCCCAGGTGAAGAACCTTCAAGACTAAAATAAACCTGCAAAAATAGGGAACTAGAAACATCAGTCCATAAAAGACAGCAATTACAAAGCAAAAAGAAGGCATACATGGTCACAGAAGTTCCAAATTGAGAGGAAATCAAGATGGTATCAAGACAAATCAGATTGTTTTAAATTCAGGAATAAATCAAGGGCAACTGCAGAGAAAATTAACTTTCTCCAAAAATTTAAAAAAAAAAATCATTATTTTAGTAAACACAAAATCATTAGCAATAAAAGAAATGAGTTGTTGTTTGTTGTTAAGTGCTATCGAGTTGTACACGACTCATAGTCACCCTAAGAACAAAAGACCTGAACACTTGTATAACTTTTATCATTTCTCCAAGTTCACAGAGTTTCCAGAGTCAAGCTATTTCGGAAGTGGATGCCACTCCTGCTTCCAAGCTTGTTTTAATCAGAGAGCTCCACCAAACATTGTCCACCATAGGGAACCATTATTGCATCAGTGTCACAGTGTTTAGAATCATAGCAACCACGAGTTACCTCTGTACAGCAAATAGACAGACCAGTGCTATACCCCTTAGAAGGATGAAAGGAAATGAGACAATCCATAAATAAATTCAATGCAGTACAAAAAAAACACATGAAAATCATTATTAGCACACATACAACAAATGACAGCAACAAATTCATACCTTTTGATAATTACACTGAGTGTAAATAGACTCATTTCATCAGTCAAGAGAAAAGCAGTAGTAAAATGGGTAAGAAAACACAATTCAACAATGAGCCACCTAGACAGAGATGGAAATAAGCCAACATTCAAAAAGATGGAAAAATATGTCAAGCAAACAGAAGAAAAATAGATGAAAAGCAATGTCAATTCTGAGAAGAAAAAAAAAATTAGACTTTGAGGAAAAAATAAATGTAAAAGAAACAATAAGCATAAGAGATAAAGAAAGGCATATAATTATTAAAAGGTCAAATCAACAAAAATAAACATAAATAGCCACAGAGCTTCAAAACACATAAAATTTTACAGAATTGAAAAGAGAAATAGAAAATTCCACAGTAGATTTTAATGCATCATTTTTTATGAAGAGAGATTCAACAAAGATATAAAAGCTTTAAATAACACAATCATAGACACAGAACACTCAACACAGCAATAGTATAATACACATTCTTTTCCACTGCACTGGGATCCCGCTCTAGAATATAATCCTTTTAAAATGCAGACACAACCCTGAATAATTTACTTCCTGTGTATCCCTTTTTTCTTCTGGTTGGTCTAACTGATCTCTAGTGGATGGCTGGTCTTCAAATGTTGGTAAAAGATGCTGTCGGCCACATGTGAGCTGTTCCTTTCTCCTTCTTTCAACTGTCAAAGCAGAAGATGGCTGCCTTAAGCATGTTTCCTAATGAAGACAAAAAAAGGAAAGTGAATTGTCTACATATGGATTAGACACTGCTGCTAATGATTTGATACCTCCATCTCTGAATCTCTAAACCAAATGCAATATATCCATTGCCATTGAGTCAACACAGATTCATAGTGAAAAACTGGAGTTGCTCCTTAGAGTTCCCAAAGCTGTAAATTTTTATGGAAGCACAATCTTTCTACTGCAGAGTAACAAGAGGGTTTGAATTACTAAACTTCTGGCTAGCAGTCTAAAATCTTAACCACCACGCCACCAGAACTCCTTCAACTACAAATCCCAAATCGTACTTGCAAACCCCATTCTGAATCTCACTTAGCTTATATTGTCTGGTGCTATTTCCTTTTCACTTTGTTTTACCTGGCTTTTGGGTAGAAACTGCTGGTCTTGCTCTTTGGGTCGAATACATGGGTATCTGAAGAGAATACTCCGTCCTTTGAGTAGACTAACTTGGTCTTTGAGTAGAAAATTCTCATCTTTGGGTAGAAAATCCTGCTTTCGGAGTGAAAACTCCTGAGCTTTGAGCACATCACTTCCAGGTTTTGGTTCAATATTCTGAACTTCCAACACAGCGCCTTCTGTTTCTGTCTCAAAAACCTGAGCTTTGGGCTCCTCAATTTCCAGCTCAATAGCTTGGGTATCTGGTTCAACATTCTGGGCTTCTGGTTCAACATTCTGGACCTCTGGAAAATCACTCTGGGCTTCTGGTAAATCATTTTGGGCTTCTAGAAGGTCATCATGGACTTCTTGCAAAATATCCTGAAGGTGTAACTGCTTTAGTACTCCCTCTTCCATGACATCAAATAATGGACTTTTGAATTGTACTTTCTAAAAGCAAACATAAACACCAGATACAGAATTTCAGGTAACAGGAACAATCTAAGTTTTCTGAGATTCACAAAATAATCTTAAAGAATTGTTGTTGTTGTTATGTGCCGTTGAGTCGTTTGCGACTCATAGAGACCCTATGTACAACAGCCCTAAACCGTGCTCTATCCTGTGCCAATCTCATTGCCTCTGACACACCCATCCTGAGTACCCCAGTCACTGAATCAATCCACCTCATAGAGGGTCTTCCCCTCCTGTGCTGTCCCTCTACTCTACCCAGCATGATGTCCCTCTCTAAAGACCTGTCTCTCCTTACAACATGTCCAAAGTATGTCAGACGAAGCCCCAGAATCCTTGCCTCCAAGGAGCAGCCTGGTTTAATCCTCTCTACGATGAATCTGTTTGTTTTCTTGGCAGCCCATGGTACATTCAATACTTTTCTCCAGCACCACAGCTCAAAGGCGTCAATTCTCCTTCTATCCTCCCTAGTCATTGTCCAACTCTCTGATGCATAACAAGTGATTGCAAAAACCATGGCCTGTATCAGGCGGACCTTAGTCTCCAGAGAGACATATAAGAATAAAACAAATCTCTATCTATAACCTCAAATCAATTCAACAGAACTGTCAATCCCAGTCTAAACGGAAATTCATTTACATTCTCTTACTCTATCTCCTTTTCATTCTGCTTTACCTGAACTCTGTTGAAAGGTTCTTCCTTGGTTTCAGAAAGGAGATCCTGTGGGTCTTCCCAAAGCAAATTCCTTCTCCATTTCTCTTCTTTTGTAATAGATGAGGAATCTCCAGAGTCAAATATCTAAAGAATAAATAATCTTGTTAAATGTAGATATTATAGGAAAAAACAATCTGAAGCCTAAAATAGAGTATCATTCTCATAGGTCACAACATTAAAATATTATAAAAACAGGGCATTATACAAGGAAAGCAGGACATGTATAATAAAAACTACAAAACGCTGCTGAAAGAAATTCAAGAAGATCTAAATGAGTAAAAGGAGCCCTAGTGGTGTAACAGTTAAGCACTTGTTTGTTAAATGAAAGTGGCAGTTGAACTCTCCTGCCACTTTGTGGGAGAAAAGCCTCACAATCTGTTCACATAAAGATTACAGCTTGGAAAAATCCTACAGCATAGTCCTACTATGTCACACAGGATCACTAAAAGCTGAAATCAATTTAAGAGAACAAAATAAAAACAAATGAATGAAAAGATACACATCTCCATAGATAGGAAGATTAATATCAGTAAGGCAACAATACTTTCAAGTTATCATAGATTGCACACAAATTCTATTAATGCCAACTAACTTTTTTTTGGTAGAAAATGACAAGTTAGTACTAAAATTCATATGAAAATGAAAGAATAGCAAGATAATATTGAAGTAGGAAGAAAGTTGAAGGACGTACTCATTCCAATTTTAAAAAATAAAACTACTGTAATAAAGACAGTGTGGTGATGGCACAGGAAGAAATATAAGGGTAAGTGAGCTAAAATTATAATTTTTCATAAGTAAATCCTTATATTTATTAGTTGATTAGTTGATTCTGACAAAGAAAGACAAGACAACTAAAGAATACTAATTTAAACCAATGGTGCTGAGACATCTGGACATCCATGGGTAAAAGAATGAAATTGGAGTGCTAACATCGTATACAAAAATTAACTTAAATCTCAACATATAGTGAAATACAAGAAATAAAGTATAAAGCTCTGGAAAGAAAATGTATAATCTTCATGACCTTGGTTAACCAACAGTTTATTAAATATAAAACAAAAAGCACAAGCAACAAAAGAAAAATAAACACTGTCAGAGTAAAAAAAAAAAACAAAATATATGCTATAAAGGGCAACATCAAGAAAGGGAAAAGATCACCCACAGAAGGGAAAAAATATTTGCATGTTGTATTTTGATAAAGAAACCACATCCAAACAATAAAAAAATAGCCTAATAAAAAAATGAGTAAAAGATCTGAGTAGACATTTCTCCACAGATGATTAACAATTGGGTAATTGCACATAAAAAGATACTCAGTATCATTAGTTCTTAGGAAAATGGAACTCAAAAGTAAACGGGATCCACATGCACAGGAATAAATCAGGATTTATGTCTCACATTATATGCAATAAAAACCTTCTACACAGTGGTGATAACCAAAATAGAATGGTACTAGTACAATGATAGGCATAAAGACCAATGGCACAGAATTGAGAACCCTGAAATAGACTCATGTATTCAACAAAGATGCACTGATATTCAGCAAGGAAACAAAACTTATCAAATGGGGAAACGACAACCTCTTCAATAAATAGTGTAGGCAAAACTAAAACTGCTATCTGCAGAAAGCTGAAATGGAATCCACATCTTACACCATTACCCAAAAATCAATTCAAGGTGGATCAGATACCTGGCAGTAAAGCTGCAAACCATAAAGTCCATAAGGGACAAAATGTGACCAGCTTAAAAGGTTTGTTGTTGTTGTTATGTGCCATCGAGTTGCCTGTGACTCATGGAAATCTTATGTACTACAGCTCTAAACCCAGCCCTACCCAGAGCCAGTCTCACTGACTCTGACACACCTAATGCTATTACCTCAGTTACCATGTCAATCCACCTGATCTGGGATCTTCCTCTCCTGTACTGTCCCTTCACCTTTCCAAGCATGATGTCCTTCTCCAAGAACTGGTCCCTCCGGGTCCCTTACCTGCCCAAAGTAGGTAATGTGGAGCTACAAAATTCTTGTCTCCAAGGAGAAACTTGGTTTCACTTCTCCAACACAGACCTATTTGTTCTTCTGGTGGTCTGTGTTCAAAACTCTTCTCCAGCACCACCACTCAAAGGCATCAATTCTTCTTCTATTATCTTTAGTCATTGTCCAGCTCTCTAATGCATAGTAAGTAACTGCAAATAACTGAATGATCTGTTCCACATGTTGTTGTTGTTGTTATGTGCCGTCGAGTCGTTTGCGACTCATAGCGACCCTATGTACAACAGCCCTAAATCCTGCTCTATCCTGTGCCAATCTCATTGCCCCTGACAAACCCATCCCGAGTACCACAGTCACTGAATCAATCCACCTCATAGAGGGTCTTCCCCTCCTGCGCTGTCCCTCCACTCTACCCAGCATGATGTCCCTCTCTAAAGACCTGTCTCTCCTTACAACATGTCCAAAGTATGTCAGACGAAGCCCCAGAATCCTTGCCTCCAAGGAGCAGCCTGATTTAATCCTCTCTACCATGAATCTGTTTTTTTTCTTGGCAGTTCATGGTACATTCAATACTCTTCTCCAGCACCACAGCTCAAAGGCGTCAATTCTCCTTCTATCCTCCCTAGTGATTGCAAAAACCATGGCCTGTATCAGGCGGACCTTAGTCTCCAGAGAGACACTGTTGCTCTTGAGTATTTTGGAGAGGTCCCTAACCACAGACTTTCCCATCACAATACGTCAAGGACTGCAGCCTTCAATATGGACTGAGGCTCAATGTTAAGAAGACAAAAATTCTCACCACTGGACCAATCGGTAGCATCAGGATGGATGGCAAAGAGATTGAGATTGTTCACAGCTTCAGTTTGCTCGGCTGTTCCACATACAGATTGAAAATATATAGAAACAAGACACATCCCTGATGCACTTCCTTCCTGATTTAGCAACATGCAGTGTACCCTTGCTCTGTTCTGATGACTGCCTCTTTGTCCATGTATAGGTTTTGCATGAGCACAATCAAGTGTTCCATTCTTCTTCTTAAGGTTAGCCACCTTTTTTTTATCTTGTTGTTGTTGTTGTTATGTGCCGTCAAGTTGTCTGCGACTTATAGCGATCCTATGTACAACAGTCCTAAACCGTGCTCTATCCTGTATCAATCTTACAGTCTCCAACACACTACCCCCATTACCGCAGTAACTGAGTCAATCCATCTCAAGGGTCTTCCTTCTGCCTCCTCTCCCTTCACCATCCCAAGCATGACGTCCCTCTCCAAGGACTGGTCCCACCTTGCAACATGCCTAAAGTACGTCCGACGAAGCTTCAGAATCCTTGCCTCCAAGGAACAGCCTGGCTTCACCCTCTCCAGGATGAACTTGTTTGTTCTCCTAGCAGTGCATGGTATGTATATTCAATACTCTTCTCCAACACCACAGTTCAAAGGCATCAATTCTCCTTCTATCAACCCTAGTCATTGTCCAGCTTTCTGATGCATAGCAAGTAACTGCAAAGACCATAGCCTGTATCATGTGTCCCTTAGTCTCCAGACTGACATAGTTGCTCTTCAGTACTCTTCAGACTCTCCCAGTGCAATTTCTCTTTTAATCCTGGCTGCTGGTACCAAGAGTGTTGATTGTAGAGCCAAGCAAACTAAAGCTGTGAACAAACTCAGTCTTTTCATGATGCTGTCAATTGGCCCAGGGTTTAGAATCTTTGTTTTCTTGATGTTGAGCTTCAATCCATTTTGAAGGCTGCCGTCCTTGGCCCTCTGCAGCAAATGCTTCAGTTCCTCCTCAGTTCATAGTCAAAAACCTTTGCATAGTCAATAAAATACAATGGAAATGTCTTTCATCTGCTTCTTTCTGTAAAATGCTTGTCTGAATTCTGATAGAAGGCCAACACTATGATATAAAGAGACTAACAAATAGTCAGAAATGCACAATCTAGAAAGGATAAAATTGATGAACTGGACCTTCTAAAAATTAAATCCCTGTGTGCATAAAAAACTTTTTCCAGTAGGGTGAGAAGGAAACCTACTGACCAGGGAAAAAAACATCTGGCAATACTATCTCAGACAAGGTTTGATACCAAAGTTTATAAACTACTACAGGACCTCCATGAGAAAAAGACTAGTAACACACTTAAAAAATGGGCAAAAGATATGCAAAGACATTTCACAGAGGAAGATATTCAGATGGCTAACAGACACATGATGAAATACTCAACATCACTGGCAATCAGAAAGATGCAAATCAAAATCACCACAATGAGATATCATCTTACTCCAGTAACAGTGTCAAAGTTTAGCAGTACAGCCAGCAATAAATGCTAGAAAGAATGTGGACAGATTGGAATTCTGACTGTTGGTGGGATTGTAAAATGTCACAACCACTCTTGAAAGCAATTTGGTGTTTCCACAAAAAGCAGAACATTAAAATGACCCAGCTATTCCACTACTAAGAATATACTCCAAGGAAATTAGAACTGAGACACAAATAGAGATATTTGTACTCTACTGTTCACAGCAATGTTATTCACAATTTCAAGAATATGGAAATAGCCCAAATATCCAACCACAACCAAATGGACTGAGAAAGCTATGAAATACAAAGCAACACTCAGGAGCAATGATTTTAAAAAATACTATATAACTTGAGAAAGACTGGAGAGCATTATGCTGAGTAAACTAACTCAGTTTCATAAGGATAAACACTGCATAAGACCATTATTTAAAAATAGAAGGATAACTAGTAAAATGTGTATGGGAGCACAAGGGGAGAAAGGAGGTAAGGATGGGTAGGGGCAAAACCACAGGGTTGCACAACATAGTGGGTAGAAGGAGAGGGTAAAGTAAATAAGAAAGATATACGGGGGAACAGAAAAGATGGAGCAATGGTCGGCATAGTCCAATGGTGATTAATTTCATAAAATACCATGTATAGGAATGATTATATAAAACATAATTTCAATTGAAGAAAAGTCTAGGGGGAAAAAATCTACACTAAAATAATAAACTTATGAAAAATCAATTCAAGATATAAGATAGAGCAAGGATCTAAATTTCAAAATGAAACCCACAAAATTCTAAAAAGAAAATGAA